TCACACAAACTGCCAAACCTCTTTCACACACAGTCTTACTGTCTCTCACAAACTACCAACCCTCTAACCTTTAATAGTATGCGAGAGAGACTTTGAGAGTGTGTGTGAGAGAGAGACTTGAGAAAAATTTTGAGTTTGTGAGACTTTGATGTTCACAGTTTCTGATTAGCTTAGAGCCTCCAGTGCCATTTTCCATCCTGCACCGGGCCCCTCCCCAATCCACAGAGTCATTTGGGATACCAAGCAGTGGCAAAATGAGCCCAAGCAATGAATTAAGCAAAGCAATCTGTATTCTGAACAATATTTTAAATTTGCTAGAGACCAATATGTCGAACGCTCTCTGTCTGAAGCAGGGTGGTAACTGAATATGAACGCATTATTCAGATTGAACAGATAAAGCATTCTAAACAAATACAAATACCCGAAGTGTACATGGATTATTTGGGGTGTTTTTAAAAGGTTTCCAGTTTCAGACTACGTGTGTGCAGCAGCATCCCACAGGACAAAAGAAAACAGTCACGCAAGCGCAAGGTTTTTACTTTAACGTGCAGCATTAAAGAACAGCTTGCAGTAGTGGGGAGGGTTGCCAGAAGATTGTTTGTTTATTTACATTGCTCTGATATGCACCGTTCTGTCAGTGTTATGACATTTTTCTTGAAATATTACGTCTTTAGGCCCTAAAACACCATCGTGAACTAATGTCATTAACCAATAAAATTAGGATAATGAAATATGCGTATCATAAGTGGATGTTTAAGTGTAAGAAATTAACCTTAATAACCATCAATCATGATCTGCATTTCCCTGCTCATTTAAATACGCCCACAATTAGCCATTTATGGCATGTAGACATCACTTCAAAAGGTACTTTAAAAGGATTCCTTTACCCTAAGCACAAATGTACTTAAACATAGTTATCTATGTTTATGTATAAAGTTTGTACACTCAATTTACATACAGATTAATGAATATGCACTGTTGATAAATGACGCCCTGTGAGTTATGACCAGCAAACTCAAGTAGTATATAATGGTATGATGCACACAGTTTTTTTTTTTTTTTTTAATTTCCCCCTTCAAAGGACAAGCCAAGGTAAAAAAAAATTACAATGCTGCTGGCTACTACTTTCACAATTCCTGGAGGCCTTTGAGTGGTGCAGTCATCCAGCAGTTTAATGACTCCTCAACCATAACACATTGTCTTAGAGGGAAGATCATATACATGCTTGGAGATTCCACTGTGCGACAGTGGTTTGAATACCTCACTGCTTTTGTTCCTGGTAAGAGCAGGTTTATAAACTATTAAATATCTTTTTGTGAGTGGCAGTGGCCCCAAAAAGTATTTGAATACTTAAGCCACACTTACAAATGTATGAATGCACTAAATTAGAAACCAACATAACAAATGAAGTGGCATTTATTTTAAAGAAAGATACCACAAGCACACACTTTTTTTAAAACAAATATTTCTCAAAAAATGGATTGTTGTGAGTAAAAATATAAAATCAATAGATATACTGTTTAAAATTAGATAAAACATTATTTGGACACTTAAGCCTATTCAGATTGTCACAGGTAATCAATAATTAATGTGATGAACTACACCAGAGAACTGTGGTTACTCTGCTAGGAGCACCTGTATAATATTAAAGGTAATTGACTACATAGACCAATGAGACAAAACATTGTTACCACCTGCCTGATATGTTTTTAGTCCCCATGTGCCACCAAAATAGCTCCAACCCCACAAGGCATGGACTCTATGAGACCTCTGAAGGTGCCCTGGGTGTTTGGCATCAAGACGTTAGCAGTGGATCCTTTAAGTCCTGTAAGTTGTGAGGTGGAGCCACCACAAATCGGACTTGTTTCAGCACATCCCACAGATGCTCGATCAGATTGAGATCTAGGGAATATGAAAGCCAGGGCAATACCTTGAACTCTTTATCATGTTCCTCAAACCGTTCCTGATAATGTGTGGCAGGGCACATTATCCTGTTGAAAGAGACCACTGCCATCAGGGAATGCCATTGCCATGAAGCGGTGTGCCTTGTCCGCAACAGTGTATGCAGCCGGGTACAATGCTCTCTGTGTTGTGATGTATTCCTCCCAAATCTATCATGGAAATTTTCAGTGACTTGTGCCCAACAGTAGTCCTTCTGCTGGTTCGGACTAGACAGGATAGTCTTCATTGCCCTTGTGCATCGATGAGCCTTGCCTTGTCAGTGTCATGCCCAGACATTGTCAAGAAGTTCTGTGAAACATAGAATGGCAAACTAAATACTTAAACATTGAAACTGTGATCTTTAATGAAGCCACTATTGAGTGTCCAATTACTTTTTGTCTAATTATGACCAGTATATCTATTATTTTTTAAAATTTATTCTATTATTTCTAAACATAATCAATTTTTTGTGAAATGTTTTGCTCGAAAAGTGTGGTATCTTTCTTTAAAATAAATTCCACTTGGTCTGACATGTTTTCTAATGCAGTGAAATTCGTACATTTGAAAGTGTGGCTTAAGTGTCCAAATACTTTTTGGGGCCACTGTACCTTGGTCATTGTTTCATTTTATTAATTTTTCTTCCGTCATGCTTGTCTCCTGCAGAACTGAAGGAGTTCAACTTTCACAGCCCTAAGAATGTGGGGCCATTCATGGCTGTGGACAGCAGAAACAACATTCTGTTGAGCTACCGCTGCCATGGGCCGCCCATCCGCTTCACCTCAGTGCTTTCCTCTGAACTGCGCTACGTGGCAAATGAGCTAGACAGGATCAAGGGTGGGCCGGACACAGTGGTTCTCGTGAGTGTGTGGTCTCACTTCAGCACTTTCCCTATTGAAGTATATATACGGCGCCTACGGCACATCCGCAGGGCTGTGGTGCGGCTGCTGAACCGTGAGCCAGCAACCTTAGTGGTGATCCGCACTGCCAACCTACAGAAGCTTGACCCGGAGAGCAGCCTGTACAACAGTGACTGGTTCTCTCTGCAGATTGATGCTGTTCTGCGTGCCATGTTCAGAGGACTCAATGTGCAGCTGCTGGACGCCTGGGAAATGACACTGGCCCACCACCTACCCCATCTTCTACATCCACCTCCTACTATCATCAAAAATATGATAGACTTGATTCTGTCTCACATCTGTCCAGTTGGGAGAAAAAAGAGGAATTAACAAAAGACTAAAATATAATAGGAATAGGTGAGGGTCTGACTTTAAAGCATTTGCCACAATTCACAGTTGACTCACTGAATACTAATTCAATGGGTAATGAGCAATTTACATCAGTTAGAAGTTTAAGCAGAATATTTTTTACTATTTTAGAATATTTAAGACCATGACACTATGACATAACATATGGAATTATGCAGTGGCCAAGAAGTGTTAAGCAGATCCATTTTAAATTCAGTATTCCTGAAGACGCACACTCCTGATATCTTCGCAGCCAGCTTCATGAGGGAGCTTCCCACAAGAGGCTTTTAGTAATGCTCCGAAAATAGTCTGAGCACTTGTTTCTATGTAAATTAAAAAAAAATCTAAATAAAAACTACTTGCTTGGGGACCGTTTAAAAAATTTTTTTATAGCCAAATAATCTATTCAGAAACACACACACAAAGCAGATATGTACACATACCAACCCCCAAGTTAGACATGGTATATCAAAAAGCACTCTTTCAAAATACAAAGACCACAAAAACAGCCACTGAATAAGCAATTTATGTACATTTCATCTAATTACTTTACAAAATGTGATGAGCCACAAAACAAACATTTCTCAATATTGCAAAAACAGAGGGAAAATGTAGCACTGGTACTGTGTAAAAAGTTTACACACACAGAAACAAGCAAAAATAAAGAAATACAATAATAAAAAAAACTAATAATCATTGTCAATCATGAGGATTTGGCCACAAAAACGCATCTACATCACAGCTAATGTTCTCCCTGGCCAAACAGCGGGGTCTTGGGAAAAGTGAGTGGTTAATTATGGTGAATTGAGTTTTCACAGGTGAGGTGTGGTTATTTCATTAGCGTTCTGATTGGTGACTCCAGTGGTTAGGAAAATGAGACAGCTGTATTTCCAATGAGACATACATAGTGCCTTGAGAAGTGTATATAGAATTTTACAAAATGAATGCAGCAGAGCTGCAGACTGTGTTGAATCAATGCCTACATTTACATGCACATCAAATTCTGTTTAAGGTAATGGACTGCAACTACACTAATGAGTACTTCAGATGTGGATTTACAAATGCTGAAATTCTTGCCCATCTTGCCAGGTTGCATGGGATTGTTCTAAGCAAATAAACATTTCGGAGAATTTTAACAAAAAAGAAGCTTTGAAGAAGGAAGTAAAAAAACAGAAGTGGCTAAGGTAACAGCCTTCATTCAACAGCAACCAGTTCTTTTGTTTTTGCTGAATTCACAGAACCGAGCCATTTTTAAGTGATCAGAAATATTGGAACATGTGACTAAGTTGTTTAGCACATCTAGATGTACATATCAGGAAATGAAAGCTGAAATTCTGATTTATCGTCTCATAATAATCTTGGAGAGGAGATTAAACAAGCTGTAGACTGCAAAGAGTTAATTGTATAAATAAATATTAATACATAGAAACAGACTAATTAACCAGTCTACACAAATAAATAAATACATAAATAAATAAACTCATAAAAATGCTGTTATGTTTTAATGCTTCTCATGTCCAGGTAGCCTATCTGCCTATTATGTTGGAGCATATTAATTTGATATGAAGTGTAACCTGTGAGAGCATTGATTTGCACATTTAGCTGTAATTCTCTACATATCCACAGGGTGCAATTCCCACTGTTTCTAAAATGTTGCAGATGGCTCTACACATGGGTCAAAACTTCTGTAAATATACGCCCCATTTCCCGCCAAGTATTTCCTTATAAATCCCGATTTCTTTGTGGGAGTTTGTGCATGTACATTCCAAACCCATTTTTGTGTGTACACTTTTTATAAATGGGTTAATAAATAAGGGCAGTGGCAGCTCAGTGGTTAAGGCGTTGGACTATTGATCAGAAAGTTGTGAGTACAAATCCCATTGAACTCACTACCAAGCTGCCACAGCTGGGCCCTTGAGCAAGGCCCTTAACCCTCAACTGCTCAGTTGTATAAATGAGATAAATCTAAGTCGCTCTGGATAAGGGCATCTGCCAAATGCCGTAAAAGTAAATGAGGCCCCCTGAAGAGATGGGCATGGGAATCAATAGGGGGATACTTAAATTCAGTTTATCAGGAACTGTAAATCCGATTGAGTTGAAAATATGATTTTCCATCTTTATATAGTCTTGTTTAGGACAAAATGCTTGTTAAAAAAAAACAAGGCCGCCATCAGCCAATCAGATTTCAGCAGCCATTTGCTAGGGTTAACAATGAGCAATCTTCATGAATCTTGAATGGTAAGTCCCCCTATCACCCATGGAAAAATGATGCATTGTCACTCAAATTGGCCAATGGGGGGGCACTGTTCATGCTTTTTTATTTAACACAATTTTGTAAGTACTGAGAGTGTACAGGGGCACACCTGGACATAACAACCTCCAACTCCCAGTCACTGTTGAAGATTTGCGTTGCAACACGTTTTTATATAGTTCGTCAGTGATACTCTATTCTCTGGGACTCCAATAATAGTGATTTCGGCACTAGGTTGTACATCTAAGATAAAAGCATCATTTAGTGTTTTAAATATGTATATCCAGTAGTCTCTCAACTTTTGACAGGACCAAAATGAATATAATGAATATGAACAAAACCTGCCTTATTACATTTGCATCGATCACACACATCCCCGACATTATAGTACATTTTTGAAAGTCTAGATTTTGTATAATAGGCGCAGTGGAGGACCTTAAATTGTATAAGACTGAGGCGGGCACAAGAGGTTGATCCATTAACTCTGTTAAGAGCTTCCTCCCATAATTCAGCAGATATTTCAATTCCCATGTCCTTTACCCACTCCCCTCTAATTCTGTCAATTATCACATTATTTAAGGACATAATTATATTATATATTACTGAAATCTGGCCTTTATGGACCACAGGAATTTGTAAAACTTTATCCAGTAGCGAAGTAGATGGTAGGACAGGGAAAGTTGAACTCTGAGTTTGAATACAATGTCGGACTTGAAAGTAATGAAATAGGTTGGACTGTGACAACTGAAATTTCTCAGAAAGATCCCTGAAACTGGCAAAAGTGTCATCAATATAAAAATCACTACATTTGGCCAAGCCAACCCTCTGCCCCTGTACAAAAGTACTATCCATTTTGCCAGCAGGAAACAGATGATTATTACAGATAGGACTTCACATAGA